GGGGAGTTTCCCTTCCTATCAGAAGGGCAGCGCTTGTCAGCTCATCGACAGTGCGACTTGAGGAAGGCAGACCTTTCTGCTTACACACTGATTATAAAAAGAGGAAGGAGGCGGGGGAGGAAGTGCAGCTATTTGTCAGCCTGTGCTTATGGGCCATGCTCTGTCCTGCAGCTCCCTTCTGCACTAAGAAGGTGGAAGCACATTAGCAGCTGTAGTGGCAGGTTTGAGCTGCCTGGAGGTGGCCAGCAGAGCCCGTTCCTCAGGTACGCAGAAAGTGGCAGAAATGGAAAGAGCTGCAAAGTTTGAGGACGAGTGGCTTCCTCCTAGGTTTGTAGGGCTGAGAAATGGTATGGGGATTTCTGGGCAGCTGGGAGGAGCTCCAGAAACGTGGTGGAAAGCCGTGCTGGGGCCTGCCCAACACTTCTGAGAACTCTCACATCTCATAAGGCAATGACAGTGATGAAGGAGTTTGTATTGGTGGTAGAAATTACTCTTTTGGGAAAACACTGGGAATTTTACTGTGTATTTGGGGAGAAAAAATAGGGCTGCTGTTAGATCCCTGAGTATCAAACCCATCCCTTTAGTTTTATTATGAAATGAAAAATCTCTCAGAGCCTTCATCTTCAGTAGAAGGGCACTGGGAGTGTTTCCCATACAGCAAGTGCCTGCAGCATCCTGGGTGATGAAGTTCATCCACTGCACATTGTGCCCTTTCACAGCTGAGCAAAAAGCTGTGCACTCCATTCTTTGCCCACTTATTTTGAGCGTGAATAAAAAGTAACTTCATTAAAGCCAGTGAATTACACTGATAACAATTACCAGCGTGGGAGGAGAATGAGCTCACTGGATCCACTCCAGGGTTTCATCACACTGGTTTGCAGTCTGTTTTCTTACTGTGATCCCTTTTTTGTTATTTTGTCAAGTCAGACTGAAAGAGATTAAATCCCAGCTCCAATAATTGTTCAATAGTTTAAGGTCTATAAAATATTTATGCACTCAGCAGTTTGCCTCTGCATAATAAGTTTAAAAGATTGATAATGTTCCATATCTGAGCTTTTTGACTGATGGTGCTAACTTTTACCGTGTGCTTATTTACTGCCCTAATGCTCTCACTCTCTTTGGCTGTATCAAGCCCTGCAAAGCTTGTCAAAATCAAGGTAGAAACTGTGATGAAGAAAGGGAGGATGACGAGAATGCAGCAGCAGGAAACGCTCCTTGCTGCTGCCATTTTGGTCACCAGTAAGCTGGGATCCCAGGAACGGCCGGACCCGAAGTACTGTGAGCATTGGGTAGGAGGTGATCCACCTGCTGCTGGGGATGGCTGCCAGCTCGGGAAAGCAGGCGTGAGATCTTCCTTTTTCCTGACAAGCCACCTGCCCACAGCTTTACAGCACCCCGGGTCTCCTTTCACGTCCGTGAACAAATCTGCATTACACACAAGTACAAAACACAGTTGGGAGAACAAGAGAACCCCTATTTAAGGGAAGCGAAACAATGACGGGCTCAGCAAGCTGCCGTGGTCTGCCGGCAGCATCCAGATCACTTTTCCTTCTCTGCTCTGTGCAGGGATAGAAGCAAGACTGCAGCACTTAAGGCCTTGGCACCGTTATCTCGGTGAGGATTTGGAAGCACTCCAGGAGGCCCAAGGAACCCACACCCTGTGCCAAGAACTTGAGACTGGGAGTACATGGAGCTGCTCAGGAGCCTGGATGATTTAAGGTAGATAACAGCCATTTGAAAATGCCTATTGCCTGGCTACCCCTCCAGACTGCAAAAACGTCTGTGGAAGGCTTCAAGGTCCCAGCGGCTGGAGCAATGCAGTTTCTTCCCTTTAGGAAACACTTCCATTTTCTGATATCTGCAAAAAAAACAAAGAAAAAAACCTCAAAGGAAAATCTGCTGTGGTATTTGATCCCACCAGTTAGGGACTGTGAAGGCTCTTCACTCACGCTGTTTATTTTGATAAATTCATTTTATTGGTTATTTCCCAATTTTCCCAATTTCATGTTGGGATAACGATGACATTAATAATGGACAGAATATCTTTGACTCATTTCCAGAAGCAAAGAACATAGAGCTCAGAACTCACACAGTATCATGTCTCATTTGTCACAGTGGCTTCATGGTGATGGGAGTGTTGTTTTATGAGGTTCAAGACTGACAGAAAGCATTTGATTTCAAGTGGCTACTAGAAAAACCACTGTCCTTCAGCTATTTGCCATGCTGATTACTGTCTTGAGTTGCTTTCTGCACATACAGAGTAGATGAAGAGTTTTTTAAGAGTGCAGATGTAGAGCAGCATCTTCCTGGTGGATCCTATGGGAAAACAACTACATTTACACATGCATTCTTCAAACAGCAAGTTAGTTTGCCTGTCGGAACAACACTGTCTCATGCAAAAATCTATAGGAAAGTCTTCAGGATTGAAAGAGGCAATACTTTGCATGTGAAACTGGAACTCCAGATGTGAGAGAGTTCGGCCTGCAAATCATGGAGGGTCGTAGTATCCCAGTTTCCCCAGACTTGTGAGAAAAGTAACACAGGTTTGCTGTCTTTCTTTACTTTCTGCCTTATTGTAATACGTTCTGCTGATGCAGCTGATGAGAAGTTCATGTCTTATTGGTGCCCATTTAATTAAGTTGTTTTTTAATGAAACTCTTATGAAAACCCATAATGAAGAAATGGTGTCAGTATTCCACCGATAATTGACAGAGAAGCTACAAGGACTGCTTAAAAGCATCCCATATCCATGCAGTGTTGATGTTTGAAGACAGAAGCAGCAAGGTTACAAAAGCAAAGAAAAGATTTGGACATAGTGGGAGCTACAACATCAAGGAGGTAACACTGACGTGCAAGCAGAAGACCTTGATGTTTGGATATGCCTGCTTAGTCCATGGCATTTGGCATTGGCTCTCCTGCCTCCCAGGTAAATCCTGGATTGCCAATCCCCCGAAATATTCCACTGAGGGCTTTAACTGTGAGATAAAATGGTCTTCTTCAGATTCAAAGTATGATGTTATACAAACAGAGTTACAATGGCTGGCAGCACTAACCCTGCTACTGTCAATGCACACAAATCCACACCACTGTTTAGTAGTAGGAAGAGGTCTGTCTCAGCACAAATGGATTTGGGGATATTTGCTCTCTGGGATGTTATCAGTTACAGTGAGGGAGAGCTCTCTGAAGAGTCTGCCAGTCTCTTACTGCAAGCTCCATATCCATCTTCTCTCAGTGCAGCGCTCATGGCCAGCGCCCAGAAAGTTAGAAGCTCTTCCTGCCTGTTTCTAGTCCAACATTTTTACAGTTCTAGATATCTTCTAACTCTCAGTTATTGCCCTGTAATTTTCTCTTCCAGCAACATTGCCATGCAGTTCCCTATCAAAAATGGGAAAACACATGATGCTTATAAGTCATGGTTATGAACAGGCTATTTATAAATGTGATGTGATATATATATGTATATCTCATATTATTTCATTATTACATACATACATTATAACAACTTCCTTATTAAATTCAAAACTGGAGAATCATATCATAAATAAGAGCATCTCTTGCAGATTTTGGGGATAAATAAAAACAGTGTTCAAGATAATAGTAACATTTATTGAAAAAATACCAGCCTTTAGAGAATCACTTCACTAATTTCAGGATTAGCATTTGGACAAGCTGCTGATGTTCAGAAAATCCTTCTTCAGAAAGATGAGACTTTGTGTCGGTGGGGAACGTGCTCCACTCCTACTAGAACAAGGCAAACATATGTTCACTCACAGCAATGACTGAACCCACTTCAGAGAGGTTTGCTGCAAGGACTCCCATGACTCTCAGTGGATTGTGCTTTTCAAATCCTACCAGACCCTTCTAACAGCTTTACTTTCAGCAGCAGCTTCTCAAAGGTTTCATAAAATATTTGAAGATAAAGCAGCTATTTTTGAAGGAGATCTGTATAGTAGCAGCATTGCTGGATTCTGGAAATTCTCCTAGAAGAATGGCTAAAGTGAAGAGTATTATCATCTCTGTATGTAGCCTTTACAGCCAAGAGAGTGTTACCTGAAACCCAAGGGAAAAATACATGCTGTTCCCCCAAACCTGATTATCTCTGAACACAAACCAGACACTTATTGCATTAAGAAATGCCTGTAACTGCAGCTAAAAAGCATACCTCTGGTTTAAACAGTCCTTGAAAGTAAGTTGAGGAGACAATTGCAGTCCTTCCAAGGGAGATGGAATCCTGGAGAGTGCAAAAGGTCACAGGGCTCAGTATTGTGCTAGAGTGCCATACAAAAATGAATAAATGAATGCATAAATGCAGCTCCAGTTCAGGCAGTACCTTAAAACGAGATGTTTGGAACTAAGAAAATGATCAAGAATTAGCTCTAGCTTACTCATACATATGGGGAGCATGTGAGAGGGCAAGGTCCTCAGAAAACTGTAGCTGCTGAGGGAGCTATGCGGACCAAGGCAATGGCAAATAGCAGAGGTTCCGCTACTTGGGTTAGAGCCCAACTCAGAGCTTCAGTCCAGTAGGCTCTGCATAGACACAGCCTAGAGGGAGGAGCCCTCTTCTGAGACTCAGCACCCAGCTGGGCAGAGAATGAGAATCATGTGGCTTGGTGCCCTCCAAAACACCTGCTTTGCCTGGTGTTACAGCAGTTGGAGGACCCTCCAGGGAGGAAAATCTGGTTTTTGTCTGAAGAGGTTCTTGCCATTCCCTCCTGGACATCCTCTTTGAAGTGTACCCAATTATCTAACTTGGGCTGACAAGTTCTGGAGAACATCAGGGAGAAGGCACTGAGGGGCACACCTACTAGTCCAGATGTAGTTGGCCAAGCCTGCATCTGCTGAGGTCTTCAGGTGTGCTACCAGTATCATAAGCAAGAAATGAAACCAACAGTTCGCTACTCTTCACATTTCCCCAGAGCTATGTGGTCAAGTGCCCGAACAATCAGAAGTAAAACAAAATTAAAAAAAAAAAACAGCTAACACTCTGGCAGAAGTGTTTTGTTTTTTGTTTTTTGTTTTTTTTTAATGAGATTTTCTATAAGCTCCATTGGGTGGAACAGCAGGAAAGCACTGTCAATTGTCTGCAGGGCCCTTCCCACCACTGGAAGTCAGTCCCACCTGAATTTTGTGTCCTTCCACCCCTCAAAGAGCACCTACATTCCTGCTAATGTAGCCTACCACTAGTTGACAGAGCATGCCAACGTGCTCTGAAATTTTAACTGACATCTCACATGTCCATTAATCTCTGGATAAATCAAATAAATTAATGGTGAAATGACATCCTGTGCCACAAGTGGATGGGTTTGTAGGGCTTAACTCAGCAAAAATGCATTGAGATGTCACTCAGTCAGGCATTGCCAGGATAACAGGGGACTTTCTAATAGGATTTTTCTCACTCTTCAGTTTCTTCCAGCACCAGAGTAAGCATTTTATTGGGTTTGCTGACTCACACTTTTAATTAGGAAAGAGCAATGTTTTCTGTTCTTTGAATAATATACTTAAATCAAGTGTTACAAGTACTCAAATGTATTAAAATATTTAACAAAATATTCCATAATTTAATGTCATATATATTTCTTGGCAGCAGTGAACTCCAAGAGCCTGAAGCTGTAATTGAACAATAAATTTAAAACATGATTTCAACCCATGTATTATAGATGTGGTGGGGTCTTTACTAAGCTCCTTGCTGGTACCATGTCATCAGGATTCCCATTGTTCTGACAACTCTTTCTGTTCATTTCTTACAGACAAGACATTGGTATTGCAGCAGTAATGCAAAGTCATTGTTTTAACTTTAGATTTGAGGTCATAACATGGAAATTGGATAAAGCTATGATACTCTTTCCTTCAAAGCTGAAAAATATTCTCTAAATTTATTTTTCTGGCTGTGGAGATTTTGGGGTGGGTTATTCTCTGACTCATTACTGATGCTTTCATAGTTTATTCACATGCAGAGCTAGCTTTCTACTTTCTTTGCTATAACTTGGTATTGACAGCTCTTATTTTTTAAGTCCTTCAGAGATCCTTATAGAATCAGATTTACTCATTGCAAATGATCTACAAAGATTATTTTAAATGCTATTTAGCAGCTACTCAGCAAGCTAAAAGCTGGCTCCTTTTCCTCTACCCCACTACGTGTGAGGACTCAAATTCTGGCTCTGTGGAGGATCTATAGCCAAGTTAACCCAAACTGCCTCTGTTCAGTTTATGCATAGTATCTCTAGCTCTGGGAAATGCATTTGTTATTTTGCAAACACATATGCTTAGATCTGGATTCTACTGCTTACTCTGTGGCAGTGAAGCAATATGTCAATGGAACAAATTCAGAGTTGGCTTCCACCTGAGTTTTGGCTATTGCTTCTCCTTGAGGCTTTGCTGAGCCTCAAGAAAAAAATGCCCTGCAAACTGTCATCTGTGCCCATGCCCTCCATGGCACAAGAAAACTCACCAAATAGGTGCCAACCACATCCACTTTAGAGTAGAAAAATAGCTACTGCTATTTTTTACAGAGTGACTTAGGAGAGCTCTGCTCCAAAGCCTATCCCTTGAGACTGACCATCTGTTGTTGCTGAACCTGCTCCAAACCCCCTGTTCCTGAACAGGACTGTCGAGAAACTTGTGGTAAGGCAGCCCTTGTGTCCCGACACCATTGAGGCTCCTGTGGCCCCACCATGCCTGGTGCCCAGCCTGTGTATGGTGACAGACTGTCCTGTTTGGGTGGTCAGCAGCTGGTGGCAGGTCCCTGCTAGCACAGGGGTCTCCAGTGACCGTTCTGGTCCTGTGTTGGCAGCAGTGATCCACAGAAGGTGTTTGTGCTACTATAAGATGCCCATTCTCTCTGGAGCAGAGTACCACATGTTCCCTCTGTTGGCTTTGCCAGGTGGGAAAAAGGACTGGGGTTTATATAATATGATTAAAGTATGTTTTAGAGCCTCCTTCCCACTCTTATCAATAACAATTAGATAATACCTCTGTTAGGTTGCCATGACTGTGCAAATCCCTGTGTTTGAAGCCAGCAATGGGTCTGACTGAAAACTGGGGAATGCGTTCCGAAGTGCATGATCTCACTTTTGGTACTACAGGATTTCATCCCTTTCCTTTACTCCAGCCTGAAGAGTCATTTATGACTTTTGTATGGTACACTGCTATTCCTCAGTATTCATTATGTGATGCCTAATATTAGGTCACTACCTAATTTATCTGCACAGTTCTAAAGGTTTTGACAGGGTCATTATCAAAATATTAAGACTTTGGAGTCTTGCCAAGTAACATCCCTCCAGCCACACACTTCTTGCAGGATTACTCATTGCCTCCTTTTCCTTCCACACTGCTATCTCTAAGACAGCTTTTCACTCACCTTTCACTTTTGCAACTGACCCTATATTTGCCATCTCAAAGAAAGGATTCCTACATGACCTAGACCAATATAACCTACTGAAGACCGGAGAGTTTTAATGGAAACGTTTTCTTTGTTAAGTCGATTTGTTGTCTCATTAAAGACAACCTGGCAGAAGCTACCTTAAAATCACTTGTGTTGTGTTTTATCACATTTTCCCTTCACATTCATGTCTTTAATTATCATTTTCTTCAGAATCAGTTTTAAACCCTGAATATTATTGAGACAGACTAATGAGTCTAGACTAGATCTAAGCGCTTTGTTTTCTTTCTGGAACACCCGTCTTGCCATTTTTTTTGTGCCAGTATTTTTCAGAACACTGAGGTGAGATCATCCAGTTTCTCTGAATCAAGTGCACTGAACTCAAGCTTTGTTTCCACTATGATTTCCAGCTCGTTCCCATCATCTGTCTTTTGCTCTCATGATAACTCATTGCTCTTGTTTGAAAACAAATTCTGGATCCATAGTGCCTCGCTTCTAATTTCTGTTTTGTGCTGCTGAAAAACATCTTGTGCTTTTGCTTCAAGTTTTGTAAATTCAATCTCAGGTTGTCTTTGGAAGTACTGAGATTGCCTCTGTTCCTCTCCCTTTACACATCGGTCCTCTCTCCCTTCACTATACAGATTTATTTTCGAGGCGATTGCTGCAGGTGCCTGCTGGAGGAATCAGGCCTTGCTGGGATCCTGCTGCGCTCCAGGCACGTACACTCAGGCCCAGGCAGTCCTCTGCTTTGAAATGAAGGCTCGGGCATGAGAGAAAGTGAGAACTGGGCAGTTCTCGCCATAACCCTAAACACTGAAGTATGTCTAACCTGTGACTCACTGCACAGTATGGGGACTTCAGTGAAGCACGGAAAGCTGAAGTCTCAGTGGTGTGATGTGGTACTGAACTCAGTAAAACCATACTGATCCAGATAAGGTGAGGGACTGAGTCCAAAGCCTTTAAAATATGTAACTAAGCCTCTACATGGGAGCTGTGCATCTCTGTGTGATTCCTGCTTTTCTTTCTTTCTGTCTGTCTTTTTTTGCAAATAGACATCAAGAAAGTCAGTATTGCCAAAGGAAATAAAAACATGGAGCATGTCATTCTTTGCAAGGAAAATCTTACACTGAGCCATTAAATTGTTGTGGACTTCGGATGCACATTTACCAGTGGGGTAATTCTCAGTTTATTGTTGCTTCGATGGGAGGAGGACTGATTTTATTTAAGTGTCTGTGTTTTTATTTCAGCAAAAGAAGACCTTTGATGTCATTGGTATGTTTTGGTCCTGGGATTATTTCTGTGACATGATGCAAGGTTTGAGAATATTTTATTTGGAAAAAAAAATAAAAAAATATCTCAAATAAAAGTTGGTGAAATGGAAAAAAAAAAAAAAAAAAAAGAACTCTTTATGTAAGAGAAAAACAAGAGTCCACAAAAGTGTCTTACATAAAGCAGCAGCAGGAAACTCCAGGACAAGAATGAAAGAAATCCAGTTGCATAAAGCTGTTTTGCTGTTTATTGGGTTCTTATTTCTTCAGCTAGCACAATATCAGTTCCTGTTCAATAACCGATGCAGACTGAGAGCTGTGAAGGTGATGGAGTTTAAATTCTCTAAAGTAAAAACCAAATACGATTCTTTAGTTATTCTAAGCCATTGGACCAGAACAACACAGTACAGAATATTACATCCTTTCACAATTTATCTAGCTTTTAAGCAAATGTATTGTTCTGTTTATAAGAAAAAGCAATGAAACAAAAACAGGCCCTCTGCTTGTCATATTTGATTTTACACTATATTCTTTAACGTCGAGCGCATCGCTGTGGGTGTCTGTGATTTGCCATCATCCCCGAAGATGTTCTTGAAAATGAGATGTTTCGTCTCAGTGGCCATACCCTGCTGACATGTTCAAAATAAATAAATGATCAGTTCTGCAGTCCTGCTGTTAGGGTTTAGGAAGAATTTACATAGAATACTGTGCTTCTCTGGGAATTGTCAACCCTTAATCTTTCAGTAAGCTACAAAACTATTATTAACATATCTCTAGGTAATGTTGTTTAGTGTTAATACTCAGTGGAATATACTTTTCATCAAAATATGAAAGCAGTCCATGTATGTTCTACCCTCAGGCGCAATATTAGATATGCTGTTTCTTGGAATGACTGCACTACAAAAATTAATCTAGTCTTACTTTCAATGACTTTTGTGTCAATGTATAAACTTGGGATTATTTTCTAGGTGGAAAAATGAGTCAAGACAGGGGAAATAGGCCTGGCAAGTGAACCCAATAAAAATGTGTGCTGACGCCAGAAGTTTCAAAGCAGTGAGGTCTTCCCAGCGATGTGTGGTGCAGCCCCTCTGCTTTCTGCAGCACATCTGATCTGATCTAGGTTGCTTTGTAGAACATCCTGTTTGGTGAGTGTTTATCTCAGCCTCGTCACATGGATGAGCTATGAGAGCATAAACATGAAGCTAAAGTTGGTGCTGGGACGAGGGAGGGTGATTCCCCCTGCAAGAGGAGCAGATGCTGTGTTTGGTGAAGAACGCACACGCAGAGCAGGGCTGGGTCCCTGTGGCTCCCTCTGCCATACTGCCCAACAGACGCCTTTTGGGGTCAAGCGGACATCTTTGGAAAATGGAAATCCTTCTTGCATGAATCCACAAGAAGAAACAATCTCAGGTTAAAAATACAGCATGGAATTATTGAATTATCAGAGGGTTTTTTTTGTTTTTGTTTGTTTGTTTGTTTTCTTTTGCAAAAGTAACCCTAGAAATAAAAATACAGAGAAAAAAAAGTTTGTTTTTTTTTCAGCCTGTTGCCAACAGGCTGCCTTTAAGGGGTCCACTGAACCTGCTGGGAAATGAGTAGTATGCCCACATATGCTAGTATGTGGGCAAAGAAGGGAGAAATCACAATATAATTTACTTTGACTCTCCAGAAAGGCAAGAATCGTGGGAGGAAGGGGCGACCAGAAGTGATGGGATATGACTCAGGATAGTTGCAGCTCCTCTGTGTCCCTTGCTCTGCCCAGAGTCAGCAGAGCACTGCAGTCACTGAGTTTCTGGCACTTTGGTGCTGCTGGGCATCTCTTATGCAGTGGGGACTCAGACCCCAGCAGGAGCTCAGGGCTGCCAAGTGGGTGCTCTGGCACAGCCCAGCTGTGGCAATCCTAGGCCGGATAAAACATTGTGTTATGTGCAGTAGAAGTGAGGGAGTGGGAAAAGGGCCCATTGCTGCACAGAAGAAAAATTTAGGAATTTCATGTTTCATGGCTAACCATATTCCAGTCACTGATGGTGCGCTTCCTCACATGCACTAATTTTCCTTATCATCTTTGAGGAGAAGATCACCGTCCTCAATATTTTCCCAAAACAAACCTGAAAGACAAGTTAAATGTTTGACAAATAAAACACCAGACTTTCTTTTTCCTTCCTTATTTTTCCTTCACTGCTCTGAGTGAACACTTTCAACTCCTCTTTTCAAATCTCACAGCCTACAGCATGCAGTAATAGCTCATTCATTATTCAGGTAACTGCTTCTGTAACTGGGTTAATAACAGTCCTCATATCTAAGTACAGCGCTCTGCTCCGTACCGCTCAGGTTCCCACAGAGCTTTTGTTTCCCTCGGTTTGCAGTAATGTTCCCCATAAAGCCATTTACCAAAACAACTGTGCCACAGTAGCTGGTGCATTACGCCCAGTGAATCACTGTAACAAGATTTGTTAAAGCTGTGGCCAACCTTTGGAGTGTAATGGTCATCCGTCAATGATCTCTTATTAAAAAAAAGCTGAAAGCCCTCATTTCAATGTATGTGTCTTTCCCCACAGCAGTCAATCCCAAGAGCTGACCAGGTTGCTGTAATGTCTGAAGGCAGCCTGGGATCAAAAAGCTGGAAGAACTTTGCTTCACAGGAAGTAGAAGCCGAGGCACAAGTGGAACCCCATATGTAAAAGAGGAGCTAAGGATAATTACTGAGTCAAATACTTCAGTTCAGACAAAACTGAGAAAATTATTAGTCATAAAACAAATGAATCTTTATCATTTGATGGCATATACAGCAGTATATACGCTTTTCTAAACTAGAATTCTCTGGGTTAAAAAAAATAGAATATTAAGGCAAGATGATGAATATAATTTATTTAGTGTGTTGAAAAGCTTTCAATAGGATTTTACCCATGAGACTGTGAAAGAAGTCTGGTAACAAGAAGGTGAGGTAAAGGCTTGTCCTGGATTAACAACTGCTGAGGAGACAAGCTGGCAGGGGGAATAAATGTCTGCAGCCTGAGGTTGAAAAACATTAGGAGCGAAGTGCCCTAAGGATGTCTGTAAGGACTGCTCTGTATCTATCCTTGCACGGCTGCCTGTGCTTTACATACACTGCAGCAGCTTCCTTCAGTTACTCTGAGGATCTGTTTGCAACAAAGAGAAGGTGAATGCAGAGTTCCAGATAAGGAAAACACGTAAGTGTTAGGGTCTTTAGAGATTTTCAGAATTATTTCTTACGTCTCAAGACTGTGATGGTCGTTTCAGTGAATTTGCTTAAGCACTGCTAAGAAATGCATGAACAATGAAATGTCAGACTGTATTGCTGACAAAAGCTCGCTCGGAAAAGGAAAAGCTCCAAAGGATTGCTTGAAACATGAGACAACTCTAATACCACCAGTGGTTGTCCTAACAGGATGGCAGATGAACTTGAAATAAAAGGTAACGTGTTTGAAAGAAATAATTTAAACTACTCTGACACACTGATGGCTTCTGAATTAACTGTAATCTCTGGGGGAGAGAGCTGAGCATTATTGTGAGCAGCTCAGTGAAGATACTGAGCAGCGGTACACAACATGTGCCTGGGACAGTGAAGTGGGGGATGTGTTAAGAAGAGGATGGGAATGCATTGCCCTGGTGCACAGAGGTGACAGCACGTGTAGCCACACGTGCACACAGGGATGGCTCCTCATCCACTGTGAGTTCAGATACTGCTTGTAAAATGTGAACTTGACAAATGAACATCTGAATTATTCACCTTTCCCTAGTGAGTAGATGGGATGAGGATGATGCAGTTGGTCACTCACATCCAGTCCCTCTGGCAGTGCACTGGGAGCTGGAAGCCTGGAAAGACCTGGGTTGGCATGAGGGGTGTGCGAGCACTCAGACTCTTCATTAGCTTTAGTCCTGCTTCTCCTTCCCAGGACATTTCCAATTGCTTCTGCCAAAGTTTCCCCTCTCTGTCATTTTCTCACCAGAGTCATTGCCTTTCATGTTTACTAAATACTGTCATATTTTGGTCTGGATTCATAAATCCATGTGGGAAAGCGAAGTGGCGTCAGCCAGGACTCATGAAGAAGCCCTGCGGGGATGGGCTGAGGGACGAAGCTGAGGGAAGTGGTGCCAATGGGGAACTAGGAGAGGAGCCCCAGGGCCGCAGAACCATGCAGACTGACATCTCACACAGCCCCAGCAAAGCCCTTCTCTGTCTCCAGGTCTGTGGTGCACCAGCATCCCTGACACATCATTTTACAGCTTTTAAGATGAATAGAGGAAGCTCATAACTCCGTGGTTTTGTTACAGCTTCTCAGTAAGATAACCTCCACAAAACGCAAACTGATGCATGGTTATCTTTGCAACCAGAAGGGCTAAACACTTCATTAGCTTTTTAAATGAAAGCTTAGGTTCTGGAGAAGGCAGCCAAATCTGCAGGAAGGACCTAATTCCTCCCACATTTTCATGAGAACAGAGGATCAACATCTTTGCAAGTCAGACGTTCCTGTTCCGCCTGTCCCAGAAAACAAGGAAAATGGTATGCTTGCATTTAAAAGGTAACACACTTAAAGCAGATAAAGAGAGTTGTGAATAAGTAGGGTAGAACAAACCTGCAGCCTTCATTTATGAATGTTCCAGTGACTGCAAATGATGAGAGAAGAAACGTTTTCCCTTCAAAGCAGCACAGGCCTGGCCCAGGGACTGCATTCAGTCCAAGCCAGCAGCCAAGCAGCTAAATGCATTCATTAGGAGAGCCATCTCCGTGCTGGCTGTGGACTTTTTCAGTGATGTTAATACTGCGTGAAAATCAAAGTTTTCATTAAAAGAAGGAAGTAAATTGTTCATTTTCACACCTGTTGAAAGAAACTTGAAAATCTGTCAGATTCCCCCCCCCCCCCCAAAAAAAAAAAAACAAAAAAAGAACCAACAACAAAAAAAAGAAAATGAAAGAGGCACAAGTTTTTGTTTGTTTGTTTACCTTTCTGTAAAGGTTATGACCTCCACATCAGAAGCAGTACTGCTCATTACTGGTTTAAGTGATAGGGGACTGATGGAGACTGTCATGTTGGAGCGACTCTTGTACCCATCAACAAGGATGCCTGAGACCCTTGAAATCTGAAACATCGTAACTCATGATCTGGATGAGTTCTTTCCTATTAAAGCAAATAAGAACTACTGGGAAAGTGCTGGATTTCTCCATTAAGATCCTTAGCAAAAACATGAGGAATTGAAATAAAACCCCAATTTAAAGCATAACTTGGATAAAGCGCTGTAGTAAAGCTGTGTCATTTGGAAATGTCGTGCTGGCTTTCATAATGCAAACTGTGCACCTGTCTCTACAATGCTATACCCCATCAGAAGATATCATGGTGGAGTCTGATAATGAGCCAACACCACACAGCCGCATTGCTGCTGCATGTGCTGCACGAGGTGTCTGCATCCTGCCAGCCTTATTCCCTGAACAGGCATGGCTGATGCTTCTAGGAGCTGTAAGACATCTAGGAGACTCGCCAACGGGGAGCAAACCCAATGCTGCCAGTAGCATGATGGGATAGTGCCAAATTAGTACAGAAGTTCCTGTATGTGCCAAATAGCTTTCTAATTACATTGCGATCAGCAAGACAAAACTGTGTCTCTTTAAAAACATATGTCTGTATTCGCAGCGGGTCTTCAGTGCAGAAGGGAAATTTAGAGGCAAAATGTCAAGCAAGGCTTGTTTTCAGACACATGTGGGCTTCCTGGACCACGGTCCATAGGACTGACCTCCTCCACTCCAGGGAGAGGAAAAAAGAAAGAGAAGCTGGGATCCAGCTTAGATTAGGAGGTGGTGGGACTAATTCAGAGTACGTGCACACGTTGAAGCATATGTGACACTGGCAAATACCTTCTCCCTTTACATAAAACGTTTAGTATTCTGTTTGGTTGCTTTTAGGTTGAATAGCACCAACATGGCTCTGTTCCAATGGGCCCAGTTCTCTTTTCAGATTGTGTCATTTTTTTCTCAAACGAGTGTAGAATATATTTCTAAGAGTTGTGATACAGCAGTCCAAACTTGAATAAGCTGGTCCAAATTTTTTAATTTGCATCTGCTCCTCATTAAAGAGAGGATGCAAAAGCTTTTGGAACAAACAGTGGACTCCTAGGAGTACATTGTGGAGGAATTTACAAAGAATGAAAAGTGAATCATGTCACTATAGAGATAATTACTCAAATATGTGGTAAGTAAAATTTCATCTGGATCCTTCGCACTCTCAGGCCTTCCTTGAGCTCCTCTAACTGGTAACGTAGCCATTGTGCAACAGATTGAAGAGAGCAATATGCACATAGGTTCAACCATCTGCCCCTCATCTAGGCCGTTACTCTTGGGGCCATTTGCATTTCATTACCAGCATAAAAAGATTTAAGAGGAGACAATGTGAGAAGATTGGATTTGGTGGGTGACTATACTGCTTTCAGCTCAGGGAGATTAAGGCACAGGGAGCTCTGGTGCTGATCCCCATTACAGCAGACACGTTGCTCACGTTCCAGAAACAAAATTTTAGAGGACCAGTTCTGTGGGCCACCACTCCACAGACTTGATACGTAATGCCTTGACAACCTGTTTTCTTAGAGATTTTGGGCATTCCAACTTCTTGGGCCATTTATTGCAGAAGTCTCCTGGCTTCTGTTGAAGAAAAAAAACAATTTACTTCAACAGGAGGTAGTCCCTTATGAGACACATCCAGCTGGCCGCAGCGGGAGCTGGCCTTGTCATCTTTACAAGCAGGATACGTTCACATGCCAAAGTCAGCAGAAACAAAATAGATGACACATCCACAGTCTGAAGGTTTGCATTCCCAACAAACCCAAGCAGAAATAAGACAGGATGGGGAGCCAGGTCCAAATCAAGCATTTAGTTCAAACATTTACATGACTGAGATCAAACTCTCGCATTATGGATTAAACCCATAAAATGTGTAGGAAGGCAGGAGCTGCTTGTCGGTTGTCTCTTAAACATGTCTGGGGACGTTTTGTGGCATCTGTTGTACAAGCTTGAGTTAGTAAAACCCACATAGAAAGCAGTAGGTTGAGACCAAACTGCTGATGTCTGAAATTTTCAGTCTGCTTGACAGGACACCCTGCCAGATCTCCGACAGTGTCTGCCCGAGGCTCCTTCTCCTCTCATCCCACACACCTCGAGCTGATGGTTACTTGTGCTGCCTCATGCCCGTGGTACTTAGGGAGCCACGTATTAAGGAGAGCCTTGTTTGGGAGGAGCGGATTCCTTGATCCTTAGTGATGTTTTCAGCTTGAAGGCGCTTAAGTCTTTCTGTTAAAAAGCCTGCCATCAGTCATGCACATGGGGTTACCAAAGGGTTACAACTTTCTCGTGTTCATTCAGTTTGGAGTGGTTTTGTTAGGATGGTCTTTCAATGCTGTGATCTGGGGACACCTTTGGCTCACCCTTGTTCTTAGGGTTCCGTGTCTCTCTGTGCCCACACAGGAGGCAGAAGACCGCTGTAGCTCAACAGTGCATTGCGGAACATGCTCCCAGGAGCTGCTGCTGACATGGCTACAGAGCCTCAGGCTGCCTTCAGTGTCTGGAGACCTGTGTGTGTTTGACCAGAACTGCAAGCTGGTTCCTCACAGGCAATTTCAGAATCTGTACTGAAGCCTCTTGCAGCTTTGTTGAACAAAGCCATGGCCAGAGAGAGCCCTACCCGTGTGTGACTGGCTGCGAGGCACATCCCAACCCTCCTTGTGCCAGCCCTGCGGGGTGAGCCTGCACAGTGCTGGTAGGAGAGCTGCACTCACTGGTGTATTTCTCTTTTAGCACACAGTTTGGTTTGAGAAGGCACTGGTGTCAGCAGCTGTACATCACTGAAATACAGAAGTGCCAGGTCTGGCCTTAAAATGAACCTCAATGCAGACCTGGCAATTCAGTTCTGAATTCAATGGGGAACAACACAATGCTTCTGTATGCTCAGTAAAATACAGCAGAAGCCAAGACATCTTAGCCCAGGCATTTCTGGGTGCCTGTCTCATCTGAACATTTGCTAGCAGTGGGTTGATATTTTTAGAACAGTTATGCATCTTTGGGAAATATTGTGGCACACAGAAATCCAGAGGGAAGAAAGTATTATAGTGCTGTTGTTGAGTGACAGGAGTAAGGCTGTTTGTGGCACTCATGAAAGTTACATCTGTGCTGTATGGATAGAGACAGTTCCTTCACCACATAAACTCACAGAAAGTGAGGGACAGGAGACTGGGAGGTGCAGAGCTCCACAAACACAGATTCATTGCCTGAGTGTAGAAAGACTTGAGTAAAGGGACCTATTTTATACGTCCTCAGCAGTTTGAGCTTCTCATTTTTCCATGCTTACTATTTTTTATCCTTCACTGTGCATACTCCAAGTACTTGTTAACACCCTTTCCTTTGGGTTACTTATCAGTAAAATCTCTTCTCTCAATTGCTCCAAAAAATTTCTGTAGTTGCATCCCTCCTTGACCTGACAGAGCTCTGAGACTGCATCCCACAGATAACTTGCCATGCAGCATGTGGCTGTGTATGTACAAATGTATATATGCAGTGCACGTGGTGTGCTTTATCAAGCCAGGACTGTGTATATTAGAGCTGTTCAGGATCAACTTGTATTTGGGCAACAGATGTTTTCTGCATTTCATCCTTTTCTTCCAGTTTAAAAATAAACACAACCAATACTGAATTGAGTGAAGAGTGAATTCTCACGTGCACATCTCACATCTAACTGCTTTTCAAAGCCTTAGAAATATTCTTTGCACACAGCTCGGTTACTGCTATCTGCCACTCTTCTTTTTCCCTTCCCAGTATTCTGGAACTTCTCCTGACTTCACAGCTGATGGAGCAGCCAGCCTGTGGTTGCCCAGAGCCATGTGTCAGGGCTGAGCTCAGAGCCCTGGCCCAGCGGAGCTGCATGGAGCTGGCTCAGCTGGCTTGGGCTGGGGATGCAGCTTATCTGCCAGTGGAGAAACACCCTTGGATAATGAAAAGTAGCAATGGAACGTGCTTCAAAACTCCTATTGACTTCATGAGAGCTGACCGACAGAAACCACTGTATACTAGGAAAATGAGCTGGGACACTAAATTAATTTCAGCAGTCCTAGCATCAGGGGTTCTTAAGGCTGTTCTGTGAAGTTTGGGTTTGCATGGATTTGTTCTCTATTAAATTCACAGGGATGGAGCCAAGTTTCTCTCAAACTGCTGAGCTAGGCTTCAGAGCTAGAATTTTCACAGAAACAGAAAAAGCCACAGAGTTTTGTCTGACTCCCACCTGAAAGCAGAAATTGGTCCACATCTGCTGACAAGTTTGTGACTGTCAGCTCAATCCACTCTTGGCCTGGGCACCCCGCTGGTGTCTGCCTGGCTCCGTGTCTCACTGCAAAAGACCCACCCAGCGGTCAGGTCTGCTCTGAACTTGACAAAAGTTTGTAAAACTGTAAATTCAACAGGTTTCTGATTGTCTTAAAGCAGCCTTTTCCCTTCCTACTTTCTCAGCTGCTGTTAGAACAGTACTGCCGGTCGGATGTCCGTAGCACTGCTTCTTGAAAATACTAGCTTGAAAATACCCAGAGCTGGCCCTGCTGCACACATGGAGTTTTGTAACCTTGTGTGAGCTGAGAGACTTTCTTTTCCCTGCAGAAACCCCCACACCCATGTTCTGAGACTTCCTCTCACTATTCCTGTGACAGTGAGTCACTTCCCAGCCACCTTCTGCCTACACGGGGCCCAGGTGCTGCTGCCTTCACCACGATGCTGAGTGTGAAACCAAAGGGATTTGCTGAATCAAGACTATATTCAAGCATTTCCTTTTTGCTCACTTTTTAAAAGATTTCCTGTCTCTTTTCTCTTTTCCTCTCTCGCTTTTT